CAAATCACTATAATATAGCTTTAGGAGTTAACAGCGCTGCAGCAAATATTTTTGAATTGGTTTAACGAATTACATCGATTTAACATCATGAGTAAAAATAGAGATTTCAAAAACCAAACAGACCTTTTCTGGCTTTTTGTCTCTAAGAACTATAATAAATTTAAAACAGGTTTTTTAGGTTTTGTTTGAAAAAGGTTTATTTCCATCGACAACTGTTTATAATATTATCTCTATACCTATAATACGCAGTAGGATTTTCACTGGATACTATTTCTACCGAGTAGTGAGTCCATGAGTAGCTATTGAATCCTTCGAGGCATCGAATCTTAAATTTAATAATATATATATAAATTATATCATACCTACTACCAACAGTTTTGAATTTTTCATCAAAAATACTTGAAATCGACTTTCTTACATTTTTATATTATCCTCTGAATTCCTWAAAAGTAAAAAAATGTCATATTCGAAAAATCAAAAATGTGGGAATACTATTTCAAGTAGACTAGACAAAAAATTCAATTCTGATTTCAAAATKTTTATTACTTCACTATATATCTGCAATATGTACATTTGGCAAAGAACAAGGCTAAAATCCTATATCACCCGTGTGCTTATAGACAAAGACAAAAAATTACGCCATCGAATTACGAATACCTTTAAAATCAGAATCGATATGTAGATATTATAAATAGAAACCATCGGAATGGATATGCGACCATATAATGTATGAGGAATTGTAGGTCATGGGGACGTTTTAAATATGATCCATAATTATTTTGTAAAATTACAGTAGGTTCTCGACCACTATATCCACATCACGAGTAGAATGAATACGTTAGATATTCTAGAAATTAAGTATGTACGTTACGTGTCTTAATGGGAAACTTTTTAAGTTTTTCGATTGAACGATGTAAAATAGTCTGAACATATCAGTAAATAATAATTGTAAGGAATACATACAAATTTAAGAGTTTAGTCCTGGTCGATATAATATAGGAGGTCAACCGTTGTCCATTAACCACAATTAACTTTGATGGGCAGATCCAAGTCCGTCATGCCTTAGYAGTTTTTATAATTCAAATGGAAATCACTGAGCGTTTCTATATAATAGATAATAGCTATTAATTGAACTAACGACACATTTTCATCAGATTTTAAGTGCTTTCTTTGCAAACCTTCGTCATTGTCTGA